GTCTGTATCCTCACTGCATATTCAGCCTTATCCCAGCCGTCCATGTAGAAGTAGAAAACCTTTGAAACCCATTCCAAGTTATCTGCTTTTGAAGGTTTGAGGCTTCACCTAAAGTGTAAAACTTTCACAGCACTGCTTAATAAATAAGGCAGAACATGCTAGCTATGCCTACTGATACATTAAATTGTTTTCCTACCCATCTCACCTCCTCAACCCTGACATCTAAGCAACGTCTTTACAAATAGACTTCTTTTCACTGAGCTTTGACAGCCATTTCCCAAACACTGATCTCTGGGTTGATCTGTTCCTCTGTCTTTGAGGGAGTTTCTGCCAGTTTTCATTGAGCATCTACTAGTTTGGTGCACATGCTGCATCAACAGAACCTTATTATTTGAGACAACATTTGTTAATACATAAGCAACATTTGACTAATGCATAAGGTAGTCATCAACAAGAATGGTCTTTTTCAGTTAGGGGCTGTATGAGATTCTGCAAAAGACCTGCAAAGTTCCTCTTCACCCTGGGAGAAAAATTGCAAAGGGCATGAGCTACCCTACCTCTCCCCCCAGGAAAGGCAAAGAACAACAGCTCTACCACATCCTCTAAGCACACCACTCTACACGATGAGGCAGAAAGCAGAAGTTACCGCTGTGGAACACATGAAGCCAACGAACCAGCTTGATAACTCTCTTCATCACAGCCTGCCTTGGGTGAGGTGGGAAGACATCTCTTTGCTTGCCACGTGCCTTTTCTGTTTTGCCATTGACTTGCACACAAAAATACTTATTCCAAGGTTCAGTAAAGAACTCACCATCTGGAACACCCGGCTTTTCAGTAATCCTGATCTGCCGCTCTGGTACTACAGGCTCCCCTTCTGCATTGCCAATATCTGCAGGGAGGTAAGGCAAGGATTGTATCTCTTCTTCCAAGGATCTTGGAAAATACAGAGGCAGCAACTTCTGGTAAGTGGCCTACAAATAAGAAAAATGCGTGAAGGTCTATCACGCATCCTTGCTCTTCAGTTAAGTAACACCTGTCCCTGTAGCAGGGATCTTCTCAGAAGTTAGGAGGCAAAGTACCACTTCCCTCAATGGCTTATTCTGGGCTGCTACCTGGCAATAAAGGCAGGTAACCTTGATAAAGGTTAACTTTTTTTTTGCCACACTGGCAAATGATCTTGAGAGGACTCTGCTTTAATCTGCATGAACTCAGGTAGATTGCAGATACTTTAGTTTTGTAATGAAGTTACAATATGCATGAATGACAGACTTCAGCAAAGGCACCACTACACACATCACCTTTAGTGATCTGACTGGGAAAAAAGAAAAAGCAACAACTAAGAGAATCCCTCCCCACACGGAGGAAAATAGTGAAAATCTCTACTGAACATTATAATACTTCATGTGTTCTCTCCAACTGAATAGCAGTTTTAGAACCCTCAACAAGTTACTTATTTTCCTCATCCAGGTGCCACAGAACCTGAACACAGTGTGGGTGTTCTGCCCAGGAACAGCCATTAGCAGGTCCGATACACAAGAGAAGTCAAACTGCTACCATCTGACTGAACAGAGATCGTTAAAATGCCAAACTCGTTATTTCAATTAGCAGCAAGCAATGTTTAAGATGTTTGTAGGTGATCTGTGGGTATGCTAAACTGGCCTTTTTAATGCACAAAGGAAGCAGCATTGTGTAAGGAAGGAAATCTTGTGTGAGGAATTTCCCTTCTGGCTGGCAGATGCCATCCAGCACAACCGCATGCTATAACCTCTAGTACTGGTTCCTGTTCACGGCTCAGGAACATAGAAGCCACAAGTGGAAAGATTCTGAACATGTCCATAGTGACTTTTAAGAGCATAAACAGTACTGGAAAAGATGCTACGCTAGTAGGAGACAGAAGGACGCTGTGGGACCAGAAGTCTATGGAAATATGACTCCAGCTCTACAATGCAGGAGTTAATACTGCTCCAGAGAAGATCAAACATGCCCATGAATTTTGGTGGAATGAACATCAAGGAGATACCTCTTCAACCTCAGAGACTGCAAACACCACCTTCTCCAGAGTCTCTCCATGAATCTCCAGGAACCTTCTAACTGTGCCTGCAGGAAAGAAGATCAAATGTAGTTAGCAAAACAGGAGGAGAAGTTTACACACACAACTACAAGTGAGGAAGTCAGAGTGCAGAATGGCTGTATGCAAGCGTGGATTAAATGGCAGTTTAAGACACCAAATGGGTTATTGGCCACATTGGAAGTTCCATCTGCACTCTCTCCCACTTCTCACTTTAGAGATGGATACAACAAAAAGAGAAGAAGCCTCTCTCTGATTTTAGCTTAATAGGTATTCCTCAGTCTGTGGAATGTGATTCTATGGCCCTGCAAAAACAAGCCAAAGCCTTCCTTTACAGACATCTGCACAAACTGCCAAAACCAGGTATTCCTAGAATAAGTCATTGTGCCCTGAGTTATCAGGAAAGCAAGATGATAAGCAAGCCACAGCAGAAGCTGGTGCAAGGCAGAGTCAGCCACACAAAACCTCTGGGATCAGCTATGACAAAGAGGCATATAAAAGTTTTATTTGTAGGTCATGAGATAAATTATTTCCTCTATTACTTGTTTTGGACTCCCCCAAAGCTTTAGCATAATCCAAGGACACAGTCAAGTCCCTAAACATTGGTAGCTGAGGAGAAAAGTAGTGTTTTGTAACCAAGCTGCCAGTCACACATGTCCTTGTGCAGACGAGGTCCTTGAGCCACAATAATCTTGACACATGCCAGGGTTTTCAAGTGCTTTACTGTCAGGCTGCCGAGAGAGAGTATCCAAAGAAATAGGTTGGTCTAGCAGTATTTTATCAAGTAACATATAGCCCTACAGAGATAACAGAAAAGAGCAATAAAGGAAAGAAGTCTACTCTACAGAGAATATATTAGCGAGAGTTCTTTAAGAAACAGCAGTTCAGAGGGAAAAAGAAAAAAAAAAAAGAGCTGTTTTCAAATACAGAAATTCATGTGTAATTGGGTTGACCTGCAACACTACTTTACAGGACAAACGCAGTTGTGCGGTTCCACAGCAAATAGTTTTCTGAACCTATGTGAACAGGTGTTTTAAGATGTCTCACTCAACAGGCAGGTAGCAGAAAAAACAATGGACTAATATGTTTCTCCAGTGTCAGCACCTCTGCTAAGCAGAGGGTAAGAAAGATTTCTCCAGTTGGCTTGCACATCAAGAGAAAAACCCACTCCTTCCCCCTGTAACAACTTCCCTGTTGTGCAGGAGTACCATGCAGGAAGGTCGAGGGACTGGGTGGTGGAAAGCAGGTCAATAGAAATTAAAAAGTTAAGAGAAAAGGGAAAAGCAAGAACCAGGCAAGTATATAATATTCTTGTCTGAGCATTTTTCTATTCTTTAAGTATTTTCAGCCAAGGAAATTTTCTGATTTGTTTTTAGTAACCTTTTTTTTTCTTTAATACAGTTTCCACTTGAATCCAAACAAGTTTGAAAACTTTTAGCATCTACAATACTTTTTGGTAAGAAGTTTTATAAAACAAATAGTGTAAACATGAAGAACTATTTCCCCTTCTTTGTTCTGAACTTGATTCATACTAAAATTGTTTGAAGGTTCTTATTTTGGAAGACAGTGAACAGCTGATTCCTATTCACCGTTACCATACCACTCATGGGTTTAGAGACATCTGTCACACTCTTTTCAAATTCTCTGTCTGAAAAACACTTTATTTTACTTAGTTATTTCTTGCTGACCTCCTCAACTTCTTGTTCTACTATATTATTTTTGAATGTTAAGCTTTAAAGGGTGGACAAACCACCTATAGGATAACATTCTTAATTTTGTTGTGTCTTTTTTAGCTTGCTGCTTTGAACTCCAGTGAGCTGTTGTTTTCATGGAACTGTTATAAACTCAAGATTTTGCTCCCTAGGATTAGCCCATCATTTTGCATGTGAAGGCAGAAGCATACAGGGGTGGGTCAGTGGGGGAAGAATATCACTTTACATTTGGATATGCTGATGACACTAAAATGACAGATGAAATTTACCCTGGTGCTTGAGGTCCATCTACAGCTGTTCACAGTAAGCCCTCATCTTTTCTATTCTGAACAATCTTTTATTACCAGAAACCTCTCTCACCTCACTGTTCAGCATCTTTTCCAGGTTATTAACGAATACATTGAAGACTACAAGTTCCAGCACAGATTCCCATGGATCTTTACTGATGACTGCTCAGAGGAAGGTTCATTTGTTTTTATCCTCCATTTCCTGATCAACCATGGAAGGCCTTGCCTTTTTATAGCCTCTAACAAACTACAGCCCCGTAAAAACAGGTTTCCCCATATCAACAGCAGTCTGTCAGGGTAAGTGATCTGCTGAATACTGCCATCCATTTTACATCACTCTCCAACAAACTTACGCAGTGCTATGTGGGTTGCATCCTCCAAGGGGTAGCATCTTTTCAGAGAGTTAATGACACAAAATCCTACAGAGCACATTGCCTGTTCCCTGAAATCCAGAAAAAGAAAACCAGATGAATAGAAGGTCAGATGAGAACAAATGTCTGTCAGTACAGTAGATAACACCAGTACTTTTTTTCCCCTCCCTCTATGCAGCAGCAATCCTCTTTCAGGTTTGTGCAGAAGGATTCCTTCCTGGCAAGATGCATACATACCATCACTAAGCAGAGAAAGAGGGAACCATTAATGATTCCACAGTTTCCTCTTCTGTTTGTTCTCAGATTTCTCCTTCTACCTCTGCTACGTTGTTCCTGCAGTTTCTCATACCCTGAATGAAGTAGTTCTTCCCTCAAGCTCCTTGCAATGCTTTTGAAAATACTTTCCTTCCCATATAGAATTGACAGTAAGGAGAAGGAGGGGAAAAGAAGGTGCTCTTTATTGCAAACATTCTCCTATTCCTCCACCTGATCACTTGTTTTGTTAGAGGTCTGGGCACAGACTGAGGTGGCTTACTCAATCCTAGGTATGATTAGATAGTTATCAGCCTGGAGTGATACATACTTTAAGATCAGTACGATGCTTCCAGCAGAGAGCCACATTTTTAGAAGAGTAAAGCAGAGGTGTTGCTAACAGTCATCAGAGTAGTTTAAGCAAGCTCAGAGTTGGTAGACAATTTCACAAGTGTCAAAAGTTACTCTAGAGACTAGATTGACTGAAAGGCACTCAGAATTCAGTAAGCAGAATTATTAGAATTTTTAACATGTTTCAATCCAGACCTGACTTTGCTTGTTACTTCTGAGGCAGAACAAAACTGGCACATACCAGAAACCGTAACTGTAATCTTGATTATGAAACAGTTACTGTTGCACAGTCCAGACCTAGAAGAATTGATCTTCCCAACCCTAAGAAATTGTTAAGTGTATTTTCTGACATTGCTCTTGTTCAGGTATTCCTTGTGACTGCTACCGTTACAACAAGCCATCGTGGCAGAAGAACAGAATACAGGAAAGAATACAGACAAGTGGAAAGAAAAAAACCTGTTAGCTAAGAGGAAATAGAAAATACCACAGAGGAAAGAGGAAAAATTACAAACCCATCTGCAGCAACCATGGATTTAGAAATAGCCTTGCACTCTGACTCGGAATTTTAGATGGCTGTTGTACGAAGGCAGTGAGCCCAAATATATGAACTGATACAGCAATCAGATCATGTCACATGAAGTCACTGCTTGAGCAAACTCATGTAAAGCTTTTTGCAGCACGGAACCCAACGCAATTATCAATGCTGCTTCTCCTCTGAGTAACTGAATGCTGCACAGCAGTAGCTACACTGTTTCAGGACTTGAACCAGCTCAGATCTCTCTGCACATTTTATCTATGCCGCAACACTGATAACAAAAGGCATGAAGTATACCATGAAGCCACTAATTTTCTCGTGTCCTTAACCAAATCCAGTATACTGGAGAAGATATTCACAGCCATTTGGCCTCTGGGCAGACCTGAGTGTCTAGAACAGATGTGCCACAGATGGCAAACCCTCATGTCAAGCTGTTGTGTGCTTACTTCGCAAGCTGCAGGACATTGCGGTAACAGCTGTAGAGAGAACTCTCGGCTGCTGTGCGATACCGACTTTTGTATTTGGGTCCCACTGTGTGAATGATGAAACGTGCAGCCAAATTAAATCCTTTGGTGAGTTTAGCCTCGCCTGTCCTGCACCCTGAAAAAATAAACACAGGGATAAATGCCAATGTCATAATAAGAAAGCTAGAAACATTCAAGCCCTTGACTTCCTCCAGAGTTGGACAACTCCACATGTAGAAGTCACTGGTTTACACATCAAACATTAAGGATAGCATTCTATCTCATAACAGCTGCTTAGTATCACCTAATCAGGTTGAGGTGGTGAGAGCTGTAATCATTCCTCTCAATTTTAAAGCTATGCATATAAGGACAAACCAGAAATTGCTAGAAATGCTATCTTAACTGCAGTGCTTACTATGCTATATAGAGCACCAAAGAGAGAAATGAATTAACAACATGCAGAGAACATACAACCAGCAATAAAAAGTCCTTCTGAATTTAACAACTTGGTTTGGGGGGGATTGCTTTTTGGATAAAAGGACTACAAGTCTCCTTATTCAAACCCACCAGCTGTTGGCAGGGCTATTAAATAATCAACACTTCTTTCACCTATGCTCCCAGAACAAGGTAGCTTGCTTTGTTTTGCAAGTTTCTTCGTGACCACAAGGCAGAAGTATGATTCTCTCATGGAGCTCACACTTTCTTGACAGACTAGGTGTCTAGTCTCACAGAAAAGGAAGTTCAAGCAACACATTTAATTGTTCTGTTCACAGCACCCTCCAGTTACATACTCTAGGATCATTTACTGCATGCTAGCATACTTTATATCTTTACCTCTTTTGGTTTTGACTGCTCTTTGGCTATCCCCTGCAAGTTACACATACTTAATTCCTGTAATTTTCCGCAAGGGAAAACTGTCAGAACCCTTGATGACATCCATGGACCTCTCTATTCCCTTCAGTTTATCAATACATATCTGATAATGAAAAATCCAGAGGCAGCTACTGTGTTTGAAGTCTGTTTTTAATTTGGCACCTGGAAGAAAAACCTGCTAACTCTCCCCTTCTTCATCCAAATCTAGTCTACTCCAGTTCTGGACAGCTGAAGAATCTTTATCTTTCCCTCCCCTCAAAGACCAGTATTTTCCACCTTCTTCCTTCTGCTTGTACAGCTGCACTTCAGCTTTCTGATCTGTCCAAGAACTAGTATTTTCACTGGATTAGCTTGCAACGTGATCTTTTGGGTTGCTAGTGCCCACAAAAAGGAACGAGACGTGAACAAGCGGCTGCGACCACCCTTCTGGCAGCAGCACTGCAGTAGCTTGGCTTGAGTCAATCATGAAGCCTCCCACTGAATAGGAGCATTCACCTCTCCCACTCCACTCTGTTCCTTGTGGTGCTCAGGCAGGCTATCAGCATGTGTGAAAGCATATTTTATGGCAAGAGACATTCCAGATCGAGAATCTCTCTTAAGCAAAACTTTAAGCATGTCTTTTTAACGGCAACAACATATTGCCTTTAAGCCAACATCTTGTAAACTTTTTGATCCAGTAAATCACATAATTAGCTTCTATAGACCCCCACCTTATTTCTTCTGGGTTAATCAGAAGGAATGTAACAGCATACTAAAGCTAGGCATACTCTTCTGAATTACTGCACATCCTCTAAGACACCTCAGCACACGAGAGCAACTAAATAAGCACAGTATGTAAAAAGTATAGGCTAAAACCAAAACACTAAATATATATCACTGTATTGGGTCTGACTGAGACGGAGTTAATCTTCCCCATAGCAGCCCTCATAGTGCTATGCTTTGCACTGGTAGCTAGAAAGGTGTTGGTAACACACCAGTGTTTTGGCACTGCTGAGCAGTGCTGCACAGCATCAAGGCTGCCCCTCCAACATTTCCCCCCCTCACCAGTAGGCTGGGTGTGGGCAAGAGCTTGGGAGGGGACATAGCCAGGACAGCTGACCTGAACTGCCCAAAGGGATATTCCATACCATATGACCACTGCTCAGCAATAAAAGCTAAGAGAAAGGAGGAGGAAGTGGGGGCATTTGTTATTTATGATGCTTGCGTTCCGGAGCAATGGCTACGTGTACTGAAGCCCTGCTTCCCAGGACGTGGCTGGACATCGCCTGCTGATGGGAAGTATAGAATCAAATCTTTGTTTTCCTTTTGCTTCTGTACATGGCCTTTGCTTTTGCTTTTATTAAACTGCTCTTATCTTGACCCACGAGCTTTCCTCCTCCCCCATCTCATTTTCTCCCCGTCACCCCATCCTGCTGAGGGGGAGAGTAACAGAGCTGCTTGGTGGCACCTGGCATCCAACCAAGGTCAACCCACCACAATTCAGATGTCAAGTTGATGTCCACCCAAGTCACACAACTTGAAAAGAGCAAGCAAAGGCCTGCTGTAAAAACTATCTCATGAAAAAGAACAAAGCTTGACTGAGGTATAGTTGTGAATTCAGTAGGGAAACTAACAAATTCAGACAACCAGATGTAGCATCAGTAACCTCTAACTACCCTTACATCACACTTAGTACTTCCAAATGCCTTCTATCTGGAGATCTCTACAAAATTTATAAAACTAAAATGAGCAACAAGTATTATTCCTATTTTAAGGTACAGGATGAGGTGAGCTAGTAGAGTGAGCTGCACAGGTCAAGGTCTGCGACAAAACTGGGAACTAAGTCAAGATCTTATTTTTCATCCAATGAGATTTCAAACATTAGATCAGCTTCTCTTCAAGTTTAAAATGGAAAGTCTAAATCCTCCATATACAATGTGCAGTGGAGAAAAAGTCTCACTGAAGTTGGAAGACTACTGTGCATTGCTATTACAGAAGGTCTTTATTTGACTGCAACAAGTATGTGGTGATAGGCAAGCATATATCAATAGCACTTCATTTGCAAGCCTGGACCCTTGGCTGTAGTATTTCTGTGTTAATCAAAACTACACACTGTTCCCAGGAATGCACAAGTTAGCTAAGCCTTCAAGAAAGCACAGACCTTTGAAAGGTCAGCACGTCACATGCTTTAAGACAGTGATTTTTCTTGGGGTCTGAAATACGAACATACACCAAGCAGTAGGAATAAAGGAGAGAACTAACTGAACCACTGCATCCATTTTACAGCTTTAAAGCAAAGACCATACTTTCTCACTTCTTCCCAAGAACATTCTCCTATGAAAAAAGTTCAAATTTAAATGGGAAAGAGCACAAAAGGAGTTTGAGTCTTGTCACTTCTGCCTAATTTCTTAACTAAGCCTCCTTCCACTTCTGCTACCATGACAAACATTAAGGGACAAACACAGGGACACATTAAGGACAAACACACAAAAGCCCAAGCTGTAACCCAGCCTCTCTTTCCTCCCTCATGCAACACACCAGTAGTCTCACAAAAGAACAGATTTCTGAAAAGTTCTTCTCACAAGATTAAAAGGAAACCATCATGTATAGGGAGTCGTGAACCTGCAGAATGCATTACAGAGATCAGTGTCATCACAGGGGTGAAGGATGCAAAACTACACATAAATTCCCCTCTTACCGTGCTGAGTTAAGAAGCTAAGCCCAACTTTTACAAATAACTCACTATGGAGCTGATAGATCTCAAAGTTTAAGGACTACTTGATCCCACCTCATGGTGCACACAAGAAACCTAAGCTTATTTTAGAAGAGTTCTGGCATACATAGCAGGGTCCTAACTATTCTATAACATCTGCTGTATTTCACAGTTGTTTCCACCAGAAGGACACACTGACTTTTCCCTTTTCTCTGAAGTGGTTACTCTTCCTCCTGCTTTACTTCCAGATTACCCACAAAAAGCAAGCTGAATCAGCAAAATATGATTTTATGAAAAACAGAGGATGTCTATTCAATTGTAGTTTAAGCTACTGAGAATCTGTATTAGAAATATGGCTCTTCTATCCATTTTGTAACTACATGATAAGGAGATAGAGCAATACTACTCAGGGATCAGTTGGGTCTCAAAATTCAGCTGTGTACCATAATTATTAGAAATACGAATTCTTAACTGCAAACTATATCAGGCTTCTGTATAACCTTGGATAACTCAACTCTTTGTTTTTCACACACAAAATAAGGGAAGTCTTCATCTAACAGGGACTGGAAATAAAGCTGAGCATTTGTGAGTTTCATTATCAAACATAAACCCTGTTAATAAAGAATCTAGGTAAAGTAAGTAAATCTTGCCCATTTCCAGAACAACCTTCCATTAGGGACGGTCTTGTAACTTTCTAATAAAGCCTTCTGTTGTGCAGAAGAGGCAAATTAACTCAACAATTTAAGTAGTCACTAAGACTTTTATTTAGACATGCACTGTCTTCTCAATCCATCCATTATTGCCATAGTTTCCTGAAAGACACTGTGTGTACATTAATAGCCTGAAAGAGGATACACAAAGCGTATATTAGAATCCACTTAATTTCTGCGCTGGTGAACTTCAGTTCCTGTCTTCCACAGTGTATACACACTGAACAGGATAAGAACAAAATCTGAAGATGTGCAAGACTGGTCCCTCAAGTAAAAGCCCTGATAAGCTAACTACTCAAAGTGGCTTCAGATAACAATGAGAATTATTGTATTGCAAAGTAAGGGCTCAGCAACTTTAATATCTGCCACAGATTTTCAATGATCTGTAACCTGAACAACAAAAATAAGAGACTTGATTGGCATGCTTCTCCTCCATTTAATTTCACATTAACACCAGATGTTAATGTTGGGGGGGGCATCGGGGGAAGCAGCTATACCTTGACTTTAGTTTATGCCCAAATCCTGATGCTTTGTACTATGCAAGGGCAGTAAATTTCAATAAGATAAAAATGTCTCCAGCTACTTACTTACCTTTGAGCTTCTGGAGTTCATCCCTTAGGTCAGGCCCAGCATGCATGAATATGCTTTCAGATACTGGATTCTTATCAGTGAGAGACTCATTACTGGTATTCACTATGGCTGTGCAGTTCAGTAATGCTACATCTCCTTTCCTGAGGAAACAAGGGAACAGTTTATTGCAGGCTAAATGTAAGATTAAGCAGGATATTCTCAAATAAGCGCTGACAAGCAAGGAAATGCCAGGTTAAAGGAAAAGCATTAACAGTACTCCAGTGCCCACACAGTGTAGAGGACCCTGATGTGCTCACCATGCAGAATCATCCTTTGCCTCTAACTGATGAAGAAAGATTGCACGTAACCCACCATTTCCTTAAAAACTCCCAGCCTCAACAGTAACTTAGTGATGTATGTAGAAAATACAGTGTTGTATTTGTGTGTAGGGCACTTTAACTAGCAGAACATATGAAGCAGTGTGCAACGTGTTCCCAAAAAAATATGCATTCTCTCCTGGAGATAAGAGGATAGCCGTTGTGGTATGTTACTTGGAAAACTTCAACAATTTTTTCAATGTACTTTTTTCAGTTTGCATACACACTATTCAAGGCAACTTACTGTTGCTGTTCTTCCTCAGACCACTAAGAATCTAGAGTGACACTGCAGATAGACAAGTTTTCATTGCTTTTGTTGTGAAATGTGAACCCACAATTTGATCATGTTGATTCTGCTGTTCAAGGATCAGACATGCAGAAGATACACAAGAGACAATGGAGTAGCAGAACTCTGACCTGTTTTTTGTCGCAGCAGCAGCCATTAGAGATTTTGGGATCAAAAAGCATAGAAAGAGAAATAAAGATTTCCATGCACAAGGAGAGATTCAAATAATGATTTAAATTGCACACATTTATTATACCCATGCCCAAGTCATCAGAGATGTTTAATCTTTCACATTTCTCTTTCTTTACTTAATCAGGTTCAGGAAATCCATGAACAGTCCCATTTCCTGCATGTATGAACTCAAAAGAGGTTCATGCTGATCCCTGAATCTGCGGACCTGAGAAATCCTTCTCTCTTCATATTAACAAAGAGTTTCTCATCTAGAGAGCAGGTTCAAGTATTCGAGTTACAAGAAAGAAAAACTGATGGAGTAAGTTGACCTCAGCACACTATAGTTTTCAATAAATTTTGGTAGAAAACCATGGCGACGGAACACAGAATGGAGACAGAGAAAGGAGGGGGATGGGGGGAAAAAAAAAAGCCCAAAGCAAGCCACAAGAACCACATGAAAGAAAGAAATACTGCTCTAAACAAGAAAAGTGAAAGCAGACTAAAGCCAGCAAAGAAAGAAAAAAGCTAGTAGACAGCAAGGATATTGGTTTTAAATTTAAAAAATTCTATCAAAGTGCCCAATTAGGTTTTGATATCAAGCATACAGTAGGAAGTACAGCTCCAGTCTGCTGCATTAAGGAATGCCTATGAAGATGCAATATATAACCTATGGCGGAGCAAGTCTCAGACTTGCAGATTTACAGTGAACAAAAGGAATATTTTCTTCCTGGACCTGTAATGTTTGATTCAAGAAAAGGGGACTTGAAGGCTCTATTCTACAGCAGTGATTGTTGTATGAGGCAATGGGATCCCACAGTAAATGGAGAAGTGATGACAAACACACCAGAGCCATATGGAACTTACCATAAAATTATTTTTGCATTGATGTCTTTCCTGTATGGAAAAGGTGATCTAACATCAACTTGAGCTTTTTCAACAGGATTTTGGTGAGAGTCCAGCTGCTTAGCCTCATAGGCATCAGTCCAGCCTGGCAGACTGTCAACATCCACAAACTGGGAAGGAGCACCCAAGGGATCCATGGAATGGAAACAGTGACTTCTTTCCCCCGCTAACTTTTCACACTCCAATTCTCACTGGAGTCCTCCAGGTGCTTTAAAGGAAGAAAATCAAACCAGGTCACCAGCTGTTCACTAGAAGTAATTCCTGTGGAGCCAGACCTTTCACAAGACTGCAATGCAATTACAGCTATCAGAAAACAGAAAAAGAGATTTCTAACTCAACCGCTTTCTCTTTCTGTTTTGTTATCTGTATGTAAAAATGCAATGAAAATACTTGCAGGAAGACAAATCCTTTCCAATAATGCAAGATGAAGAAACCTTCTCTACTAAATTGGTCCAACTGGCTTGCGATCTTGCATTTTGAAAATGCTGAACACAAATTTCCAAGTGTAGAAAGGACCTTAGTCCTTTGGAAAATTATTTCTTTATCTAAACAAAGAGCAAATTTGTAGCAGGGTATGTATAATCTATCCCTTCAGAGATTTTGGCCTAGCCCTAGGTCATATTAAAAAACCAAAACAAGCCCCCCCCCAAAACCAAACCAAAAGAAAATACACTTCCTACAAATCACTGCAACCCCCAAACCCCTAAATGCAAAAAAACCCTGTTGCAAACCAACCAATGAAAGATTCTGCCTCCCCCCAAATCATACAGCCCTTGCAGTTCAATGAATTCTGAAGTACTGCAAATAAGACTTACAGTTGCTCATTTTTTACAGTTGCTCAGTTTTCACAGTCATGCACTTAGGCACAAAACCCCTTAATCCAAATAGGTTTTGCAAGAAAGAGAACAAAGTTGTAAATTTGAACACTGGCTCGGCTCAATGAACTTGCTGACTGAACTCTGCCATCTGACCTTTTATTTTTAAAAGGCTGAGATGACACTGGTTGCCAGATTAAGACTCAAACTTGCTGAAACATACTGTTCAACTGCCAGCATGTAACACCTAGGCTACTACATTTTCATTGTAACTACTACACCATAATAGTGAATTAAGCCAGCACAGACACACTCACATAAGTAACTTCTGTTTGCCACATACAAACCTACTGTTTAACCTTTTCACAAATTCATAATTAATTATAATTTTGAAACTACAGCATGCACAAGCAGTAACTCTGAAATGTGAATCAGGAAGAATATTCATTAGCTAGGGGAAAAAAACCCAAACAACAAACCAATCATCCAAACCCAAACTGAGGGGTAATAAAGGCAGACGCTAGGACAAAGACAGCCACAAGAGCATCTAAATAAGAATTTTGTCGCGAAGAGCTGGGAGAAAGGCAATGAACACGAAGGTACGAGCAGTCAGAGCGGCTCCACCCAAGAGCTCCTCTAACACGGTGCCTTCCCCCCAACGAGCAGCCCAAAATAGGGGCCTAAGTACGAGGGTGAGAGACAGACAGAAGAAGAGCGATGCCCAGAAGCTCCTCCTGGATATCCCCCCTCCTCCCCAGTTTGTTGCCCAGGGTCTCCAGCGGCAGCGGCGGCCCTGCGGGGCTGACA